TGGCCGCCCGCTTTTCCCAGCGCCTTTGTGGAAGACACCGTCTGGTCTTCCGCTTCGGCTCCCGTGTCTCAGATCCACGCTCACGTGGACGTGGGCTCGTGTCTGGTCTTCGGTGCGTCCCGTCGCGCGTCTGCAGGCCGCCAGCGCTGCGCCGTTCGGGTTATCGTCGTCCCGTAACGTGGCTGCAGACCCGACGCGTGACCCCTGCGACCTGCATCTTCTTGCCGGGCGCCCCGGTCATCAGGGTTTCTGAGGCCCCGCGTAAGGTTTAGTGCCGTCTGTGCCGTCTCTGTGGGACGCCGTTGGAACTTTGACAGGGCCGGCGCCGAGTCCCCGTACTGCCTTCAGCCACGAAGAGGCCCGTTTGCAGCGCTGACTCCTCAGGTGTATGAGCAGGGCGCTTGCTGCGTTCGCTCGTGTCTTCTGTCCCCCTTAGTTATGTCCTGTCGGCTCGTCGCGTCCATCTTTTGCCTCCGCGCAATCCTCGGTGCGACATTCCGTTTCATAGGGCGGTGGCCGGGCCGTGCCCTGCATTTCTCTTCTCGTTCAGCGTCTGCAAACAACGCGCGGAGTTTGGGCTCCTGACTCGTAGCCGTCGTCCGAGCCCACTGTGAGCAGTTTGCCGGGCGGGTCGCGGGGCGTCTGCGCCATCGGTCTCGCACGGTGGTGACGCTCTCCTCCGCCCTGGGGACGCGGGGCAGGAGCTGCGCAGCGTTGTCCCTGAGGTCCTTTGGCGCGCGTCCTGCTGCCCACGGATGTGCTGTCGGGAGAACCCAAGCTGCCAGAGGCCCTGGCTCTTCTGGGCCGAGCGCTGGCTAAGCCGCGCGGAGGTGAGGCGCTCCGGGCCGCGCTGGGCCCTGCTGCCCGCCAGGCCGGGGCTGATGGAGGGCCGTGCCCGTTTTCCCGGGGCCGGGAAGGGGCCTGGGCTGAGGCGAGCCGGCAGAAGGGGCTGCTCTGCGCCCGTGGGCCCGTGAGCCTGGACGGGGGAGGCCAGGGCGTCCGCATCTCGGATGCAGCAACCCTCAGGCTTCCTAGCGGCGCTTCTGGGGGCCAGCCGTGATTGCACAGCGCCGGTCGGGGTGACAGCCTGAGCGCGCCCCGCCTGGCGCTCGGAGCTACAGTCTCGCTCTGCGGCCTCCTCGGCGGCTGCGCGGCCCCGTGGGTGGCGCCTGCGGGCTCGGCCTGTCCCTCGGCCAGTCAGTGACACGGTGGCTCAGCTCCGCGTCTCGAAAGCTGCACTGAGAGTTTGCTGGTTTTTTTTAGCGCATAAACTGGGGTGTCGGAGGCACGGGGGTGGGGGCGGTGACAGGACTCCCCGGAGACAGACCGGGGAGCAGGACAGGCAGATGGGCCAAGTGCACCGCGGAGGGGGCCGCGGGGAGACTTGGGGTGTCTGCCGCGCCCCGGGGTGCCTCCCGGGGGGCTCGGGCTCAGGGGGAGCGGCGCCCAGGCTCAGCCGTGCAGGCCCGCTGGCCTTGCTGGTCGAGAGCCCGTTTCACCGTCCGGGGCCTGATGACCACCGCGGCGAGACCTCTCGCCCTGCTGCCCGTTCCGGTGAGACGCGCCCGCTCACGCCGCCGCGGAGTCGCGTGGCTCAGGTGCCGCCTTGCAGCGCCAGCCAGCGGCTCTCACG